TCTTATAGATAGGGTCTCTGTCGCCCAGGCTGAAGTGCGGAGGCTCAATCACAGCTCACTGTAGCCTCAACCTCCCAGGCTCAAGGGATCCTCCCAATTCAGCCTCCCAAATAACTAGGACTACAGGCGTGTGCCACCACGTCTGGCTGACTTTTTATATTTTTGTAGAGACAGGGTCTCACTATGTTGCCCAGGCTGGTCTCGAACTCCTGGCTTCAAGAGATCCTCCCACTTTGGCCTTCCAAAGTGCTGGGGTGACAAGCATACACCCTCGCATCTGGCTTCTTTCCTCACTTTCCCCAGGAGGCCTGCTCCATCGGGCCACCTGCCTCTCACCACCTTTTGTCCCGCCCTGTCCTTCACTTCCCTGCAGCCAGACGTTCACATCGGATGCGGCGACACCACCACCACCACCAACGCCACCACCAGCATCACCACCACAAATCGCGCAAGGAGCGCAGAAAACACAAGAAACAGCCCACGGAGGACTGGGAGAAGGACGAAGGGAATTTCTGCTGAAGAATCAGGCTAGAGAAAGCACAACACTCTTCCCACACCTTCTCTGGAGCCTTTCGCCTGGGGAGGCAGAACCCAGAGAGAAACAAGAGAGTCCAGAAGTCCCCGAACCCAGACCACATCCCCCCACGCATAATCCTTTGTACAAAGCTCCTCTTTCCCCCCTTTTTACGTACACAAGGATCGTCTTGGCAGGTGGAGCCAGGTGTCTGAAAAGTCCGTTCTCATCTGGCTGAACTCTGGGAGCGTCTCCCAGCTGAGGGAAGCACAAGCGGCAAAGCTCATTGGTCTGGTCTCTTTCTTGCCAGGCTGATTGAAGCAGGCTTTGATGAGGGTGCATGAGTGTATGCTTGCATTCACACGAAGGAATTGCTTTTCACACCAGAGTCAGACTCAGTCAATGTTGGAGGAATTCCTAAATCCAGGAAGAAGCCTGGACGTCGGGTCATTAGCTTTGGGAATAGAAGGCTACACAGAAGCACACTGTTTTTGAACTTGACAACAGCTCTCCCTTTACCCTGGACTTCAGCCCAAGTTCCGTGTTTGGTCTTGGTGGATAAACATGTATAGTGTGGAAATCCTCTGTACTGCATTTTAGGGATGTCTTTAGAGCAACCTCCCTCCATGCCTTCAGAGTTAAGAGGAAAATAATCAAAGCAATATGGAGGTGATGAGGGAGAGTGTATTGCTAACCTTTCCAGGTCTAGTCCAGTGCTGAGATTTGGTGGTTCTGCGTGTGTGGTGAATCTCTTTCGCACAAATAAACAAGAGGATGTTTAGGGCTAGATGAGTCCAGATTTCTTCCCCCTCCATCTCTCAGGGAGACAAAGAACCTCCTTTCCGGACCAAGGAGGTGCTGCCAAGTTTTCTAGCCCAGTGCCCGTACCCAGTCCCAAACAGACATTGGTAGTGCCCCTGCCCTGGGTCCCACCCCATTCTTGTCCCCGGCCATTGCCTGGTGGTCTAGAAACACTTAAAACTTGAAGTAGTGACACCTACCTGCGGTCATATTGTAGAGAGATGCTCAGTGTTAAAACTGAAACACACACACACACATTTTTCTCTTGTAGGTTTTAATTTTTTAAGTGGAAAAGAACTCACTTTGCCTTCCTCCCCCACATGTGCAACCTGTAAAAGGTCTCTCCACACCAGAGGCCAGGGTCCAGCTCCCTCGTCTCTGGCAGGAAAGATCCACAGCTTTTCCTCCATGTCTGTTACCCACTTTCAACCTCTCCAGTCTGGGTAAAATCTGTGGATCAGGATTAAAAACCACGGTGGAGAATAGCCCTCTGCAGGAAAGAAAAATAAGCCAATACATGGTCCACCTAGGGGTTCAGTAAAGAAAGAAATGCGTTAACTGGGCCTGAATCTCTTCCGGGAATTGATTATGACCATTGCCAGCTAAGAAGCAGACACCGTGCTGAGCACTTATACAACCTCCTTGAATCTTTTCAACAGCCTACTGACTTCGAGACTGTGACGTTCCCATTTTACACACAGTGAAACTGAGGCTCAGATATAAAGGAAAGGTACCGGCTTGAAATTACAGCCAAGACAGGAGTAAGAATTTGGTCCATACTCCGGCTCTCCTTACACTTTGTCTCCATCACCAAATCCTTACTCCAAACCTGGGAGTCAGAGCCAACTCCTGTCCTGGCTCTGACCCAAATCCTGCTCTGGACTCTGGAGAGGAGACTGACACATAATTGCACCCTCACACACATTTAGGAAATGGTTAAGAAGTGTAAACTGATCCCTTCCATTTGTCTGCAATCTTCCTTGCTGTAGACATCTATCTTGTTACGATTATTCAGAAAGCCCAGGGACAGAGGTTTGTCTTCTTACTTTGAAAACTCTTCTTAGTTTAAATTAGTAATAATAATAACACATCTTCAGCCATCCATGTCACACAGAAACTTTTCTTTGTTTGCGGGGGGCTGGGGATGCAAAAATGTTTTCTGGGGGGTCTTTGTTTATGCTCCCTGCCCTTGAGCCCCTCAGCCATTTGCCCTGCTCCCACCACTGCTTCATGAGGGAGGGGGCTTTGGTCTTTCCTAATGTGGGCGGTTTGTCTTTTGACCTTTACCTTTGGGATGTGCGCGTGTATCTGCGTGTGCCACGTGCGTGGCATGCATATGAGTGTGTGCGTGTGAACGGCTTTGGGTCCTGCTGGTTTTGCTGTGAGCTGCAGTGTTCTGTGGGTCTGTGGCATCTGACACTGTGGACATTAATGTACGTCTTGGACATTTTAATAAATTTTTTAACAGTTCGGCCTGCCTGTCACCACTGGGTACCTTCATCCATCCATTCATTCATTCATTCATCCATCCATTCATTCATTCAGCAAGTATTTACAGAGCAGCTATTTAATCCATGTACTGTGTTGGGTGCTGGGGAGATAGTGGTGAACAGGGCAGGCTTGGTCCTTAGTGGGTGGTAAGAGAAGGTTCCCAGAGGAGGGAATACAATCTTAAGGAGAAGTAGTTGCATTAACTAAATGAGGAGGGGGGAAAAGGAAAGGCATTCCACGCAGAGGAAAGAGGGAAAGCAAAAGTCCTCTTGCAGAAGGGAGCATGACTCATTTGAGAAACAGCAATGAGTCCACACTGAAGCAGAGTGGTAGAGGCAGAGAGTGGAGGGAGATGAGGGCAGAGAGGCAGGAAATGGATCACACAGGGTCATATGGGCCATCATGAGGAGTTCGGGATTTATTATAATCAATAGTGGCAAAACAAACAAACCACAACACCATTAAAAGGCAATGCCAGGCCCGGCATGGTGGCTCATGCCTGTAACCCCAGCACTTTGGAAGGCCAAGGCAGGCGGATCACCTGAGGTCGGGAGTTCGAGACCAGCCTCACCAACATGGAGAAACCCCATCTCTACTACAAATTCTAAATTGGCCGGGAGTGGTGGTGCATGCCTGTAATCCCAGCTACTTGGGAGGCTAAGGCAGGAGAATCGCTTGAACCCGGGAGGTGGAGGTTGCGGTGAGCTGAGATCATGCCACTGCACTCCAGCCTGGGAGTCAGAGCGAGACTTTGTCTCAAAAAAAAAAGAGATACTTGCATACATTAAAGATGATAATGTGCTTGAACTGTGAATGATTTACAGTTTGCTCAACTGCCTGCACCTAAGGTCAGAGTTGGTGGGGTGAGGGGATGTTCAACCCCACGGATAGAATCGCAAGCAAATTTTCACCTATCAGATTGACAAAAATAAAGTGAGGCTGGTGAGGATGTGTGGAACAGGTGAGTACTTTTTTTTTTTTTTTTTTTTTTTTTGAGATGGAGTCTCACTCTGTTGCCCAGGATGAAGTGCAATGGTGTTATCTCGGCTCACTGCAACCTCCGCCTCCTGGGTTCAAACAATTCTTTTGCCTCAGCCTCCTGAGTAGCCAGGATTACAGGTGCACACCACCATTTTGGGCTAATTTTTCTATTTTTAGTAGAGAAGGGGTTTTGCCATGTTGGCCAGGCTGGTCTTGAACTCCTGACAGGTGATCCACCTGCCTTGGCCTCCCAAAGTGCTGGGATTACAGGTGTGAGCCACCACATCTGGCCAGGTGAGTACATCTATTACTGGTGGGGTATAAAATTGGCCCAGTCTCTAAGGAAACATGCAAATCAATGAAAATGGCAAGTGTTAGGCTGGGTGCGGTGGCTCATGCCTGGCATACCAGCACTTTGGGTGGCCAGGGCGGGTAGATCACCTGAGGTCAGGCATGCCAGACCAACCTGGCCCATGTGGTGAAACCCCACCTCTACTAAAAATACAAAAATGAGCTGGGCGTGGTGGCTCACGCCTGTAATCCCAGCTACTTGTGAGGCTGAGACCGGAGAATGGCTTGAACCCGGAAGGTGGAGGTTGCAATGAGCCGAGACGGCGCCACTGCACTCCAGCCTGGGCAACAAGAGTGCGACTCCATCTCAAAAAATAAATAAATAAATGAAAATAAAATGGGGAGTTTTGACTCCTTGAACAAACAATTTCTGCTATCCTCCAGTTATACATGAACTTGCAAGTGATGATCTGGTACTTACTGCTAACAGACACATATTGAGAACAATATAAATATCCACCATTGGGAAGCTTACTACAAAAGTACGGTGCATCCAAACAATCGATCCTCTTCAGACTGTCAAAAGAATAGGGAAGAGGAGGCCGGGTGCGGTGGCTCATGCCTGTAACCCCAGCACTTTGGGAGGCTGAGGCGGGTGGATCACCTGAGGTTGGGAGTTCGAGTCCAGCCTGACCAACATGGAGGAAATCCTGTCTCTACTAAAAATACAAAATTAGCTGGGTGTCGTTGCAGGCTCCTATAATCCCAACTACTCAGGAGGCTGAGGCAGGAGAATTGCTTGAACCCGGGAGGCAGAGGTTGTGGTGAGCCAAGATCAAAACGAAAATAAACAACACCCCCAAGCTTGTAACATCTTATCCACCAAAGCGCATTTATAAGGAATTACTCACTGGCCGCCTCATTTTCTCATTCATCAAAAGAAACAAAGATTTATTGAGCCCCTACTGTATGCTTGGCACCCTCGGGGACCACAGAACAGCCCTGGTACAGCGGGAGAACACAGGTTCAGAAGGATTTTGTCACTTGGTCACACAGTGAGCAAGAAGAGGCAGGATTCAAACCCAAACCCAACTGGTCCCAAAACTCAGAGATGGATTTCCTAGAGATGACATGACTGTAAAGAGGGCCCCAGGAGAGATCCCAGTACTCCTGCAGGCAAGACCTTGGGACGGGGGTGTCCCGTGGCCGGGGTGGCCTTGTCCATGGATCATGTCGCCTGAGCTGCCCATCATCCCTGGGGAGTTTGGCTGGGTTAACCTAGCAAACCTAGTTTGACCTAGCACAGATCGCCACTTAGAACCTGGTGAATGTTGAAGTTGAAAGAACATTCCATCCCTCTGGATCTCTAAGGAGGCAAATGTGGGTGGGGGTCAGGGAAGGAGAGGGGAACTCAGTAAGAATGGAGATTGGGTCTCAGAGGACAAATGAGGAGCTCAGTGCTTGCATATATCTCAAAGGGCCAGGGCACGCCGTAGCCTCGGTTTCCTCATCTGCAGGACGGTGACAAACATGCCCGGATGTTGCAACATTGTCTCGTGCACAGCTGTTATCCAGCATAGAGTTAACGTGCAAACAGAGGGTGGCTTAGCAGCTCCAGAAGTCCAGCCCTGTCTGGGGAAGGGGCAGCCATCAGGCCCCTGATGGGGTGCAGTAGGGTAGCCCCAGTAGGAGGCACCCAGGACGTCTGGCCGGCAATGAGAAGTTCCTGAGAGCTGGAAGTTTGGTTGTCATGGAGACGACATTGACAGTCTCTATGGCTACAGCTTGGTGAGCAGGGCCCAGTTGTCGACAAGGAAAACCCTAGGGGGACAGGTGTTCTGTTACCCGGGACACCAGAGTTTGGTTCCCATGACAATGGCGGTGGGGGTCCAAACTGCCCAGGGGCGGAGCTTAGAGGGCGGCCTGGAACTGGAGTGGGACTGGAGACAAGGACAGTTTGTTTCCATGGTGAAAGCTGTAGAACCGGATGTTGGGTCACCCTGGGGACAGCTTCGGGGAGGGTGATCTCTATGACGGTGGGTCAGGGTAGGGGCAGCCAGAAGTCGAGGTGTAGGGCTCCAGGGTGGGGGCCAGTGAGATGAGAAACGTGTGGTATCCATGGTTACAGCTGGAGGAGGGAGGCACCTTCTTCATGGGTGTGACTGATGAAGGAAGGGGTGTGTGACTCTAGGTGACAGGTAGCAGCAGGACTAGTTGCCTTGGTAACAGTGGGACCCAGAGCAGCTGCTCTCTATAACGAGCGACATGGACCTCCAGATCCCCGGGCCCGGGGAGATGGTCTCTTTGGTGACAGTCCGGGAAGGGGGCGTCGGGGGCAGGGTCGGTTTGCTCTCCCTTCAAAGAAATACCTGAGGGGTGGAACGTGGCCCCCAGTCAATGAGCCAGCTGGCTGCGTGTCAGTCTGAGGTGGCAGATGGAGGTGCTCTCCCATGAAACTAGAAGGGTGTGCCCTGTTACCTGGAAATTTCAGGGGACTCTCAGGGAGAGGGGCAGAATGGGAGTCTCCAGTACTCACATCACCATAGGGGAAAATTAAGTGCCTCGGCTCACAACCTCCATGTGACCACGGGGAGTGACCCTGAAACTCCTGTAGTCTCTCCAGCTGAGGAGGAGGAGGAGGAGGCCCAGTGTCCACGTGACCACAAGGGACTAGTGTGCAGTCTCCGGTGAGATGCAGAGGGTGTACAGCCAGTCTCCAGTCAATCCCGGGGGTCCAGCCACCAGGCGACCACGAGGGCGGTTGGTCTGTTTCCAAGTGGCCTCGGGAGGTGTGGCCAGTCTTCCGGAGACTGCGGCTCTGCTGGCCTCTTAGTGGCCTCATAGGGCATGGCCCTTATGGAGAAAGTCGGGGAGTGGGGAAAATCCTCTGTCCAGAAAAGGTGAGGGCTGGGCTCCAGGGAACTCCAAAGTACTGTTCTGCCGGATTAGCCAGTCTCCAGAAACCCCAGGGGCACAGTTAGTTTGTAAGGGACCACAGGTTGTGTGGCCAGTGTCCAGAGCTTCAGGGGCGTGGCCAGCCTCTAAGGGACCGCAGGGCTCTAGACCAGTGGTCATGCGCCCTGGCAGTCCGCCTGCTCCCAGCCTAGACGCGCAGCGGGATCCAGGCAGCAGGGTCGCGCGCGCCCCCCGCCCAGCCGCCGCCACCCGCCCAGCCCCAGCCCCAGCCGCCGGGTGCTGGGTCCGGTGCGCCAGGCGCGCGGTAGCAGTAGACGCCGAAGAGTCGTCGGGTGCCGTCCGGAAAGCCGAGGCTGCGCACGCCAGGCCGGCGGCCTCCGCAGCGCGCGCGCGGGTTCACGATGGGGTAGCGCGCGCTGCCATCAGCCAGCCAGCCCGCGGTGCAGCGGTCCAGCAGCTGCAGCTTCCACGCGGCAAACAGCTGCCCCACCTTGGCCACGGCCGCGCCACGCGCAGCACACGCGCGCGCAGCTCCGGAGAAGGGTACCGGCCGCAGCGGCTTCAGGAAGAACACGCGCCCTGCGGGGTGGGGTGGGAGACGGGTTATTAGTGCGGCTCATGGGACCCGGCCTCAGGATTCAGGACTGCCCCCACGCATGCAACCCAGGACTCTGGCCTTGGCCTCGGGATCCAGGAACAGTTCCTCCTCTGCAGCCTGGGACCGCAGCCTAGGCCCAACCAGTGTCGGTGCCAGGCGGTGTGTGCTGCGCCTAGACACTCTTGGGAGAGGGGTCTCCTTTTTCTGATCGCTAAGAGCTGGGTGGGGAAGAAGGCCCAGTGGTTGGGGTAGTGCTGCGGCAGAGGCCCGTCTGGGGGTGGGCCTACGCACCCGGCAGGTTGGACGTGAAGCAGAAGGCGTCGTAGCGTTCCTCGGCGTTATGGCGATAGCCGTAATTGCGCACGCCGCCGTTGGCACCACCGTCGGCCCCTGCGCTCCCGGTCCCGCCCAGACCGCCGCAGGGCTCCCGGGGCCGGCTCACCGGGTACTGCACTGAGCCGTCGCGCAACCAGCCTGCGTTGCACCAGTCCAGGCCGTCGCGCCAGGCCGCATGCAGCTGCTCTGCAGATGCCAGAATGCCGTCCTGCTCCGCGCACGCGCGCTGCGCCTCCGCGAAGGTCAGCTTGTATCGGCCTCCACGGGGGTGGTAGGGAAAGACCACGCCTGGCGGGGGGCGCAAGGGATCAGCCGGTACACCCCGGCCCGCCCTCATGCACCTGACATCTGGGGTGCTGTGTGACTCTTCAACCGGGACCTTCCAGTCCATTCCTCCTCACTCTGGCCTCAGACCCGACCACGCCCCTCCCCAGATCCCACCCCATATGGCTGCCTCCCTTCGCCTTAAGCTTGGGATTCACTTGACTTTCCCTCTTAACATACTAATTGTGTCCATCCCCTTCCACTGCTGGAGACCTTTGCTCATGCCCTTTCCACCTTATTCTACCTGTTGAACTCCTATTCATCCTTCAAAACCCAGCTCCGAACCCTCTTCCATTCAGTCTCGTGTGCCTCTGTCATTCCCCCATGGCTCCCTCCTTCTTCTGATCCAGCCCCAAGCCCACGGAGCCTGCGTTCAGTGCTGACTCTCCTAGACTAGGAGCCCCTGAAAAATTGGCTCTGGCAGTACCCACTGACTTCCCTTCCACCTTCAGGTTTTTGTTTTTTGAGGGTTTCACTCTTCTTGCTCAGGCTGGAGTACAATGGCACAATCTCAGCTCACTGCAACCTCTGCCTCCCGGGTTCAAGCGATTCTCCTGCCTCAGCCTCCCGAGTAGCTGGAATTATAGGCATGTGCCATTATGCCCGGCTAATTTTGCATTTTTAGTAGAGATGGGGTTTTGCCATGTTGATCAGACTGGCCTGACCTCAGGTGATCCTCCTGCCTCAGCCTCCCAAAGTGCTGGGATTATAGGCTTGAGCCACCACGCTCAGCCCCTTCAGTTCTTATGACTTTTGGAACTTGTCCCTCATTGGACTCACAATCCGTCTAGCTCCAGTATTTTGTGTGTCTATGTTTGAGGGATAGGGCTTGGGGGTGAGTGGGGTACCCAGGAAAGAGGCAGACCGGGGCCAGGGAAAAGACCTGGAGCTGGCAGTCTGGGGATTGAATCTTGGCTGTGCCACCAACTACCGCTGTCCTGGGCAAGGTTCTAATCTCGCTGAGCCTGTTGTCTGTATGCTGGCAATAGCTGTCTCCCTTGGGTTTTTGTTTTTTGGTTTTTGGTTTTTTTGAGATGGAGTTTCGCTCTTGTTACCCAGGCTGGAGTGCAATGGCGCGATCTCGGCTCACCGCAACCTCCGCCTCCTGCGTTCAGGCAATTCTCCTGCCTCAGCCTCCTGAGTAGCTGGGATTACAGGCACGCGCCACTATGCCCAGCTAAGTTTTTGTATTTTTTTTTTTAGTAGAGACGGGGTTTCACCATGTTGAGCAGGATGGTCTCGATCTCTTGACCTCGTGATCCACCCGCCTCGGCCTCCCAAAGTGCTGGGATGACAGACTTGAGCCACCGCGCCCTGCCCCTCTCTTGGGTTTTTAGGGAATTAAATTAGAGCCTCCTGAGAACTCCTCAACAAAACACCTGTCACATAGAAAATGTCTAGTAAAGAAGAGCTGCTGCTACTATTGTTGTCACTTATTATTGTTAGGGAGGTCAGCAAGTGAGCGCCCTTAAATCTCACCTAGAATTTTCTAAGGGGAACTGAAAAAAGCCAACCAAATGGGAAGGAATTGTTCAAATAGAAACCCCACCTCCCAGCTCCAGGGTCAGCCAATCAGAGCATCCCATCTTCCAGCTACAGTGATTGGCTCACAGTTGGGCACATGACACAAGCTGGGCCAATGAGGGACAAGTCTGGGACTCTAGCTGCTGCTCCTAGGAAGTCAGTTGCTAAGCGGGGACGTGAAAGCGTAGGCACTGGTTTTGGTTCCAGAAAGAGTAACTTGCGGGAAGAAAGCCCACCCAGGGAAGCAGAGCAGGATGGTTCCTGACATAGTGAGTGCCCGAATCCTACCCCAGGATTTCTCAGTGTCCTCACTGTGGACACTTTGGACTGGATCACACTTTTTCTTTCTTTCTTTTTTTTTTTTTTTTTTTGAGACGGAGTTTCGCTCTCTTTACCCAGGCTGGAGTGCAATGGCGCGATCTCGGCTCACCGCAACCTCCGCCTCCTGGGTTCAGGCAATTCTCCTGCCTAAGCCTCCCGAGTAGCTGGGATTACAGGCACGCGCCACCATGCCCAGCTAATTTTTTGTATTTTCAGTAGAGATGGGGTTTCACCTTGTTGACCAGGATGGTCTCGATCTCTTGACCTCGTGATCCGCCCACCTCGGCCTCCCAAAGTGCTGGGATTACAGGCGTGAGCCACCTTGCCCGGCCTTCACACTTTTTCTTTTTTTTTTGAGGTGGAGTCTTGCCCTGTCACCCAGGCTGGAGTGCAGTGGCACGATCTTGGCTCACTCCAACCTCCGCCTCCCAGGTTCAAGCAATTCTCCTGCCTCAGCCTCCCAAGTAGCTGGAATTACAGGCGTGCACCACCACACCTGGCTAATCTTTGTATTTTTACTAGAGATGGCGTTTCAGCATGTTGGCCAGGCTGGTCTCGAACTCCTGACCTCAGGTGATCCGCCTGCCTCGGCCTCCCAAAGTGCTGGGATTACAGGCGTGAGCCACCATACGCGGCCTGGATCACTCTTTGTGGGGGACTATCCTGTTCCTGGTTGGATATTTAGCTGCATCCCTGGCCCCTACCCACTAGATACTAGTAGCAACTGCCTTCTCCAGATGTGGCAGCCTAAAATATCTCCAGGCATTGCCAATGTCCCTGGGGAGGAAAATCACCCAGAATCATATGGGGGCTCTACCCCACTAACGCTCTAAATGCCTGCAGGCCAACTTGATTTGGTTTCTGTCCCTTGCAATCCCCACCTCCTCCTTCATCAGAAGCAAGGTTTATCCTGCCCACGGGCTGATCACCTTCCAGGTCCAGCTTGACCATGCCAGCGTCGTCTTCCAGCTCATTGGTGACCTCGCACTCATAGCGCCCATAGTCTTGCAGCGTGACATTTCGGAGGACCAGGGAGGCGTCCCCAGGCCCGTCGCCCTGAAGTTCAGCCCGCCCACGGTAGCTGCCGAATGCCCGGTGCTGGGGGCCCAGTGCCACAAAGACGTCGGTGAAGGCCAGCGGGTCCACCACTTTTGTCCACTTGAGTCGGACGCCATCGTGACCGTGGGCGGCTGCTTCGTAGTGGTAGCGGCAGGGCAAGACGATAGTGCCACCCCGGTGGCTTACCACCTGCCCCGGCGCTGTCTGCACCACTACCGAACCGGACTCACCCTCTGCGGGCAACCAAGCAGGGTTCAGAGACGGGGCCTAGGGGCAGAGAGGGGGGCCCTGGGGAAGGGGGTCTCTGGTGAGGGAAACGTGGGAAGACTCGGGTAGGGGTCTGGGAATCAGAAGGGTCAAGAGGCTCAGGGAGAGGGTGAGGGGCTCAGATGGCGAGTGCCTGGGGAAACCGTGGACGTCAGGACCGCCCTACCCGCTACCCGTCTCGCACTTGGCCACTTCTGCTTTTCGCGGAGATCACTTTTAGGGGAGAAGACCACTTTTAGCGGAGAAGACCACTTTTAGCGGCCCAGACTTACCCAGCACGTGCACGACCTTTTTCCGGCCACGCTGCGCTCCCGCGGGGGCTGTGAGCAGGAGAACGCCCCAGGCCGCGGCCCAGAGCGCGACGGGACCGAGGGCCGCCCGAGCGCATACCTGGGGCGGCGGGGAGGCGGGGGGAGGGGGTGACACCGCGCTCAGTCCAGCCTCCCAGCCCTGGCCTTTCGGAGGCCTGGCTCCCTCGCGGGCCTGCCTTCCCCACGGCGAGGACCTCTCACACGCCCATGTCCCTGCCCTTTCCAGGGTCCCCGAGAACTCGCCCAGGGAGAAGGCTAGCAGACCCTCCTCCTTCTCCCAATCCTGGGACCTCACCCCCTCGCTCCTGCAAGAACCCACACCCCTGGACTCCCCCCTCCTTCAGTCCTGCCCGGATCCCACCTGACCACCTACCCCCAAAACCAGAGGCTTGCTGCCCCGCCCCCTTCTCGCCCCGGTCCCGGCCCGAGGATGGGGGGGGGTGGGGAAGAGCTGGAGGAGCGGCGGCAGCAAGGTTATCCGTGCGCCAGGAGACTGCAGCAAACCGGGCCAGGGCTGGCAGGGAGGGGGGAGAGCTGGAGAGGCACGGGGAGAGACGTGGGGGGAAGAGAACAGGGACAGAGAGAAACGCAGGGAGAGGCAGAGAAGAGAGCGCGCCACACAGGAAAAGGGGAAGGAAAGACGGAGAGGCAGAGTTAGAGAGGGAGAGACAGATGGAGAGGAAGAGGCAGAGGACAGTGCCAGAGGGAGAGACAGGAGGGAGAGAGAGAGACAGAGATGGAGAAGACAGATGGAAAGGAAGAGACAGAGATGGAAAGAGACAGAGGACAGTGCCAGCGGAAGAGGAAGAGAGGCAGAGGGAGAGACAGAGATGGAGGAGAGACAGGCAGAGGGAGAGACAGAGATGGAGAGGGAGAGACAGAGATGGGGAGAGAGAGGGAGAGACAGAGACGGGGAGAGAGAGACAGAGGCAGAGAGACTCAGAGAAGAGGAGGGAGAAATAGGGGTAGGGAAAGACAGAAACAGACAGAAGAAAAGGGCAGAGAGGATGAGACAGGCAGGGAGCGATGGAAAAGGAGAGAACCGAGAGAGTGCCAGAAAGAGCGATCAAAGAGGGTGAGAGACAGAGAAAAGAAAGAGACAGAAGAAACTCGGAGGTACATAGATTCAGAGACAGAGAGAGATGGAATCCCAGATTGAGGAGATGGGGCACGCACCACCCTCGCCCGTGGCCCCACTCACCATCTTGCCCGCGCGGCCCCCCGCCAAGCGGCCCCTACGCACCCGGACTGCGCTCCCCGCACACCGGGTTAGGACTGGGCAGGTCCCTGCAGGCGGCGCAATCCCGGCGTCTGCCTGCAAGGGGAGGAGGAAGGCGGAAGAGGGGGGGTGTGTTAAAGGGACCGCGGCGTCCCGCGCTTTTCTGGACAGGTGTCTAGAGCACCGGTCGGGGGGTAGGGAAGAAGCACTCTGGACTTCTGAGGGCAAAGCTAGTCCCCTAACCCTGCTGGCTGAACTTAGGCCAGGGAAGAAGTTCTCTGAGCCTCAGTTTAACCATCCTTGAAATGGAGGAGGTGGCTGAGTCTTCTATCTTGGTTACTGTGCTTTGGCAGGGGACCTGGGTGTCTGGTGAAAGGCATCACTTGGCCTGCTGGCCTCAGTTTACCCATCTGTCCATTGAGTAGTCATGGTGGAGTCCTGGTCCCCAGCACCTCGAAGGTGCTCACTGTGTGGGCTGGGGACCTCATGAGAATCACACTTTGCTGTGACCTGGAGCCACAGGCCCCAATCCAATCTGCCCCTCACTGGCTGTGGGACCTTGGAGGAGACGGTTGGCCTCTCTGAGCCTGTTGCTGACTCTTTGGTGAAGATCCAATAGCCAGACATAAGATCTCCGGTAGGGGTTGGGAGGGGCAAGAAAAGGGGACATCTGGTCAAGCCTCTGACTTGCTCCAGGTGCAAGTCACCCCTAAACCTGGCCTTTCACGCAATTTCAAAAATAAAAACTAGGAAACAGTGAATCTTTCTCCCAACCCCTTGGCTTCCTTCCAGGACTCAGTTTCCCCTACAGTGAGCCCAGCTCAACCAGATAGCAGAGGCAGGGTTGTGGTCTCTATGTTCCAGCAGGCTGGGCCTCCATCTCTTAGCTCAGCCATGCTTCAGGGGCTGAGGAGGCATGAACTCAGACCAGGAGCTTCACCTCCTGAAGCCTTGGTTTCCCCATCTGGAATATGGGATCCAGCATGTAGCAGTCAAGGTTAGCCTTTGGTGTGGCATACAGTAGGTGCTTAATAACCAAGTCATGCTATTAGTTATGATTTATTGGCAGAGCAGGAACTTTTTTCTCTGACTGTGACCTTGGGCAGGTCTCTTGTCCATCCTGAGCCTTGCTTTCCCCATCTGGAAAATGGAGCTGTGCATACTGACCAGAGGCCACCTTCTATCTCAGCACCTCTCCCTCCAGGCAACCACATTGAAAGTGATGGGTGGGCCCTCGCGGGGGCCACGGAGAGGGTCCCTCACCCCTGCACCCTAAAACACTCAGGCACTGATATTTTGGAAATGGAAAGGCTTTTTACTAAAAGGATCCATCGGGATGATGGGTAAATTCTGGGAGGGTGGCAGTGTCCGTGTGGGGGTTGGAGCGTGGTGAGAGCTGTGGGAGGCTCTCTTTGCAGGAAGACTAGGTCGTTGGTCTCCGTCCCACCCACCGGCCTAAAACCACTACAGTCAGGAATAAAGACACCTGGAGATGCCCCTCTTGTCTCTAAAACGCCTGACCCACCCTTCTTGGGGTAGGGCCGGCTGGGCGTGTAAACAGAGTCCTCGGTCCTGAGTCCACAGCCCTCTTACTGCTGCTTCTTGTGGTGGGCCAGGGGGTCAAGGGGTGGCGGCTGCTGGAAGAATGCGGGCCACCGAAGGCAGCGGTAGACCAGCAGGTGGGGGCCCAGCGCATACAGCAGATTGCACACGAAGAAGCAGCCCCAGGTGTCCTCAGGCACACGGTAGGTGAAGGGCGTGCGCAGGTGCATGGAAGCCCCCATGTGCGAGAACTGTGCCTGGCGGCCAGACAGGGAAAATGGATGTCAGGGGCCAGGAAGGAACAGAAGTCCCAGCATCACCACCACCCGCCCAGATAAGGTCAGGCAGAGCCCAGGGGACGCTCATCACCTCTCTGTCTCTGCTCATCTACCTGTCTCCCATCTCTCTGTCTCTTTTTTAAAAAATTTTTTTGAGAGAATCTCACTCTGCTGCCCATGCTAGAGTGGCGTGATTTCGGTTCACTGCAACCTCCACTGCCTCCTGGGTTCAAGCAAATCTCGTGCTTCAGCCTCCTCTGAGTAACTGGGACTACAGGCATGCACCACTACAACCAGTTAATTTTCCATTTTTTTGAGACGGAGTCTCACTCTATCTCCCAAACTGGAGTGCAGTGGTGCGATCTCAGTTCACTGCAACCTCTGCCACCTGGGTTCGAGCAATTCTCCTGCCTCAGCCTCCTGAGTAGCTGGGATTACAGGTGTCTGCCACAGCGCCTGGCTAATTTTTGTATTTTCAGTAGAGATGGGGTTTCACCATCTTGGTCAGACTGGTCTAGAACTCCTGACCTCATGATCCACCTGCCTCGGCCTCCCAAAGTGCTAGGATTACAGGTGTGAGCCACCACACCCAGCCCTATTTTTTGTATTTTTAGTAGAGATGGGGTTTCGTCATGTTGTCCAGACTGGTCTTGAACTCCTGAGGTCAGGCAATCCATCCACCTTGGCCTCCCAAAGTGCTGGGATTACAGGCATGAGCCACTGTGCCGGCCTTCTGTTTGTAAAGATTCCTGCCCTTACATGTCCTGTCTGTCCCCCCTGTGCTTGTCCACTTGTCTGTGAGTCTCTCCCCACTTGCCTAACCCCATTTCCTGGGCTCGGCACCCCATCTCTCTCTGACCTGGGTCCAGGTCCTCTGCCCAGTCTTCCGCACCCCAGAGGTCTTAGCACAAATCCCGTGGATTCGAGATGTCGCCCTGATTCCCTGGCTGGGGCCCAGGCTTTAGCACTTTTCACCAGGAACCCAGAAAAAGGCTCCCAGCTCTGACTGGGCCCCTCACTGCTCAAACACCTCCTCCAACTCCCCATCACCCTCAGTGCAATCCCCCAGTCCCACAGTTCAAAGTGTTCAGCATCTAGCTGCCAATTTCTCTTATCTCTGCCTTTACCCATGTTATGGTCCTGCTAACTCACTCTTTCCCTCTGTGCTTCTCCTCACGGTTCCCATTCCTGGAATGCCCTTCCCTGCCTGGAGAACTCATCCCCATACCTCAAAGCCCAGCTCCTATGTCCCTGCTTCTAGGAAACGTGTCCCCTCTGGAATCCTTCACAGCCCCTGTACCTCCATCTTTTCTGATTCTGACCCCGTGGGGCTTAGACTGTCTGTATCAGGCTTTGTCTCCCCTTGACTAGGGAATCGTGGGATACTGGGCCTGGGGCGGGGGCCTTTTGGGGACCCATCATTACAGTGCCCAGGAGGACACCAAAGTCGCTGATGAGAAGACACAAGTTCCCTCCCACAAGCCTGCTCACCCACTCACCCCCGCCTCACCTGGCCAATGGCTCCAGCAAACACCAAGGCCAAGTCTGGCAGCCAGGAGCAACCAGGGAAGGTGAGAGCATAGGCAGCCAGGCCGCAGAAAGGCAGGACATAAAACATGTACATCAGCATCTGCGGGGCGGGAGGAGAGGGGCACCGGCCTGTGAGACGAGCAGCTCCTCCAGTGGGTCTCCTGAGACCCCCGAGGTGGAGGCCCCGAGGGAGGATCTGGATGGCCTCAGATCCCACCCAGGTTCTCTGCAAAGTGCTTCTCTATTTCCCTTGGGGATCCTTGCCTCCACCCTCCCAAAACACACACATACATCAAACCTACCAACCATTCTCCGCAAGTGGCATGCGACCCTGGCATGGCCAGTCAGAGCATTCCAGCTCCCCGGCCGTAATGCTCAGTAGGAAATGGGCAAGTGATTCAGGCTGAGCCACTCCGAGCCTGCCTAAGAGCAGTGTTTAAGCTAAGGGGTAATAAGGGCTCACATGGCTCTGGGGTGGCTGAGTGGGGTACAAAGAAGCCTGGAGCTGCCACAGGCTGTCTCTGCCACCCCACAAAGGGACTGCCTGAGAGCCGAGCCATGCAAAGAAAGCAGAGTCCAGAGGCCGGGCACAGTGGCTCACATCTGTAATCTCAGCACTTTGGGAGGCCAAGGTGGGTGGATCACTTGAGGTCAGGAGTTTGAGACCAGCCAGACCAACATGGTGAAACCCATCTCTACTAAACATACAAAATTAGCTGAGTGTAGTGGATCACGCCTGTAGTCCCAGCTACTGGGGAGGCTGAGGCAGGAGAATCACTTGAACCCGGGAGGTGAAGGTTGCAGTGAGCTGAGATCGTGTCATTGCACTTCAGCCTGGGCGACAAGAATGAAACTCTGTCTCAAAAAAAAAAAAAAAGAAAGAAAAGAAAGAAAAATAAAGCAGAGCCCAGGCTACACCTCGAGTTCCTGGATCCAGCCATACCTGAAGACCACATCTGTCCTTTTTTTGGTAAGACAATAAATTCCATATGGGCTTCTGCCTGTTTGAGTTGTGCTTCTGGCATCTGCTTCAAAGAGGCCAGCTGGATCCCTACCCATGGCAGGAGCGTGGTCTTCTCACTGCCCTCTCACCTGCACCTTAGGGTAGGCCACAGGATCCCGCAGGTACGGCTCATACTGGTAGATATAGACAAAGCAGGCATCTGTGGGGCAGTCAAGCACCACCTGGGACAGGCAGACATGCCATCAACTGTCAGACACCCCTCCCACAGGAAGCCTTCCCCACCCTCCCAGGCCCACACCCCTTGTTCTGGCCTCTCCCAGCCCCACTCAAGTTGGGATGGGAGAAAGGGGGCTTTGTCCTGGAACACTCAGGTTAGACTTGATGAAGAACTTCCTCGGATGATCAAACAGGAAGAAGGGCAGCATGGGAGAGGTGGGTCAGGGAAGGGAGCCCGGAGGCAGGGGACGGGGAGACTGGCCAGCGCAGACTCACCAGGCCCCGGAACAGAGTGAAGAAGCCAGCAAGGACGAGGTAGATGACAAGGACCAGGTCAGCCGGGCGCTGCAGCAGCACCCTTCTTTGTTCCTCCTGCACCTGCCCCAGGGTAGAGAAACAGAGACAACGGGAGAGGCATTCAATGAGAGGTACTCAGTAGGTGCTCAATAAAAGCTCCTCCCTTCTTTCTGTTTTTTTTTTCAGTCAGAGTTTCACTGTTGTTGTCCAGGCTGGAGTGCAGTGGCACGATCTCGGCTCACCCAACCTCCACCTCCCAGGTTCAAGCAATTCTCCTGCCTCTGCCTCCCGAAGAACTGGAATGACAGTCGTGTGCCACCACGCCCAGCTAATTTTTGTATTTTTAGTAGAGACGGGGTTTCGGCCTCCCAAAGTGCTGGGATTAGAGGCATGAACCACTGCACCCGGCCTTTTTTTTTTTTTGAGACAGGGTCTCATTCTGTGTTGCCCAGGCTGGAGAGAAGTGGCACAATCTCAGCTCACTGCAGCCTCAATCTCCTGAGCTCAGGTGTTCCTCCCACCTTAGCCTTCTGAGTAGCTGGGACCACAGGCATGCACCACCAACATCTGGCTAATTTTTTAACTTTTTGTAGAGAGAGGGTCTGGCTGTGTTGCCCAGGCTGGCTTCCAACTCCTGGGCTCAAGCGATCCTCACACCTTGGCCTCCTGAAATGTTGGGATTACAGGCATGAGCCACTTCACCCAGCCCTCCCTTCTTTCTTATGACAAAGGAGATCCTTCCGAGGAAACTAAATCTTTGACCAAAAGTAACTCACACGGGGGACGTTCAGGCACTTTGGGACAAGGCCTGAGTGGGGGCAAGCACTCACCATGTTGGCGGTGCAGCAGGTTGGCGCCCGGGGCTGGTTGAAGACCCTCATGCCAGCCCAGCATGGCACCAGCAGGTAGGGAATGGTGAGGAAGAAGGCAGGCCTGATCTCGGAGCTGTATTTGCCTGTCATGGTGCAGGAGAGAGGGTGTCAGCCATGACAGAACCCTGTGGACGTCTTTCTGTTTGTTTTGAGAGTCTTGCTCTGTCACCCAGGCTGGAGTGCAGTTGTGCGATCTCGGCTCACTGCAACCTCTGCTTCCAGGTTCAAGCAATTCACCTGCCTCAGCCTCCCGAGTGGCTGGGATTACAGGCGCATCTACCATGCCTGGCTAATTTTAGTATAGATGGGGTTTAACTACGTTGCCCAAGCTAGTCTTGAACTCTTCAGCTCAAGTGATTGATGAGGCAGGCGAATCGCTTGAGCTGAGGAGTTCAAGACCACCCTGTGCAATATAGGGATTACAGGCGTGAGCCGCCACACCTGGCCTCTCTGGCTGGACATCTCGATTCAGAAAGAGCATCTTCATTCAAGCTCCAGCACCCTCCATGGCTCCCTAGTGCCCACACAGTGATGTCCAGGCTCCTCAACCTGACCTGCCTCAATTTACCTTCTGACTATGAAGCCTACCTTCCAGTGGGTTCTTTCCTTCTTATGGATACACCTTGGATGTTCCCTCTGCTGAGGTTTTGCCATGCCGACCTCCCGGATTGCCTTCACTGCTCCACCTCCCAAGACCTACCACTGCAGGATTCACCCTAAAATTCCCTTCCCGTGTCAAGAGCATTTTGGGTCAAACCCCTGGGGCTGGGAATCACCGCGTGGGAAGGAAGCAGAGTTTGGGCTCCCCCACCTTCCAAGAGGAAACAGGGATGAGAAAAGGATAGGGGGCTGACTGAGGCTGTGGACACACAAAGAGGGAGGTGGAGCCTCTGCAGACATCAGGAAAGTGATGGAGGATCCAATGGTGGGGGTTCTAGGTGCAGGGCAGTGACCTGGCCTAAGAGAGACCCGATTTCCAAGCCTTGTCCTTACCAAGAATGTTTCCTGTAAGAAACACCAGAATGCTCATGACGAAGGAACCCAGCCAGTAGAGTCCAACGTTCCGGTATCTCTTCCTGGGCAGGGGATGGAGGGTGACCAGCAGGTAGACACTTCGTAATCTCAGAGCCCCAGCCAGGGCCCAGAGACCACCATGAGCTTCCCAGCTCTGGGTCCCTCTCAGTTTTGTCCAGGATAGAAGGGACAACAGGGAGTCGAATGGGGAAATGAACAGTGAGACCCTCTGTCCAAGGACAGAAGCAGCTGCCCAGGCACAGGGTGGATGTAAGCAATGCCAGGCCACCACCTACACCTGAGACATTCCCTGGAACCTTCTCCTGACCACCCCTGGCTGGAGCCCTAGAGGGGCGTCCTGATTTCTCCTACAGACATTTCTGGCTCCACCCTGCCCTGGGATCCCACCTTAGGACAAAACCTCTCTCCCAGGGTCAGATGCCACCCCTCCCTGCCCCCCGCACCTTCTGCAGATGGCGCCGGCCATGGCCAGGTAGAGGAGGTAGTGAACCGTGCCGTCCCAGTAGCAAATGAAGACTCCGTGTGCTGTGCGCAGGTATGGCTCTCCCTGTGGAGGCAGGTGGGAGGCTCAGATGGGCAGTGGGGCAGGGAGATCCCTGGCCGTCCCCCAAATACCTCCTTGGTGCAGAACTCCATGAGGCCCATCACATAGCCGTCTTCCTGAAGAGCGATGATGAGGTCCACAACCGAGGTGAAGGCGAAGATCGCGAAGACTGCAATGAGTGGGTGGGCGGGGTCAGGTGTGGGAGGAGACATGAGTGGGTGGGACTAGGGCTCAGTGTGGGCGGGGCTTGATGTTAAGGTCAGGGATGACATTATTGCTGGCAAGGATTCCAGGCCCAGTCCCTGCCTCATTCTGCATGTCTGATGGAGGAGACACAGCCTGGCCCTCAGATGTCCCTGGTTTGATTGGAAGGCCCAGTGCCTGCCTTTGGGAGTCCCCAGTCCCATGGGAGAGGCACCGGCCCTGCCCTCAGATCTCACAGTGACGAGGGGATACACTTTTTCAGGAGCTTCCAGTCTGGTGGGGGAATGCAGTTCCTGTTCCTAGGAGTCCCAGGTCTGAAGGTGGAGGCTCTTTGAGGTTCCTCATTCTAATGGGAGTGTTCAAATCTCTTTCAGGCCTCCAGTCTGATGGGAGCTCTTAAAGGGCCCCCAGTCTGATGGAGGAGGCCCTTCAATGGCCCCCCAGTCTGATGGAGGAGGCCCTTCAATGGCCCCCAGTCTGATGGAGAAGGCCCTTCAATGGCCCCCCGTCTGATGAAGGAGGCCCTTCAATGGCCCCAAGTCTGAGGGTGGACAGTCTCCTTTCCCAGTCCTTTCCCAGACAGTCTCCTTCCCCACAGCTTCCCACTGACTCACCAGCGGAGAGTGGGTCATAGGAGATCTCACTATGGGACAAGCTGTAGACCACCACGAAGAGCAGACCCAGGATTAGGGCAGTCATCAGCGCCACCCAGAGGGGGCTGTGGAGATGGAAACCAAGTCAGGGAGGCCAGGCCCAGTGCTGAGGCATCGCCCCACCCTCCTGGTGGGGGAAGGGGCAGACTCCAAGAAGCCCCAGGGAAGAGACTGAAGTGTCTGCTCATCCATCAGTGCTGTTCCCTGAAACTGCTCTCACCCTGCGCCAGGCCACTGCTCAGGCTGTTACTTCCTTCTGGAAGCCACTTCCAGAATCCTTTCCACTTGGCAAACTCCTACTCATCCTTCATGGTCCATTCACATTGTTCTTCCTCCATGAAGCCCTCCCCGACTCCCCAGAAAGGATCACTGTTTAACTTGGGCCAGCTACAGAGAAGACATTCATCAGCCCCTTCTTTTTTTTTTTTTTTTGAGACTGAGCTCTGACGCCTAGGCTGGAGTGCAGTGGTGTGATCTTGGCTCACTGCAACCTCTGCCTCCTGGGTTCAAGTGATTCTCCTGCCTCAGCCTCCCGAGTAGCTGGGATTACAGGTGCCCACCATCCTGCCCAGCTAATTTTTGTATTTTTAGTAAATACGGGGTTTCATCATGTTGGCCAGGCTGGTCTTGAACTCCTGACCTCAGGTGATTCACCCACTTTCCTCCTAAAGGTGTGAGCCACGCCAGGGCTGCCCCTCTGACTGTACCATTTATCCCATCATTCTGTGTTTTCCTCAGGCTGTTCGGTCATTCAACAACTTCAAGTCCCTCTGTGGCCAGGCCCAGCTCCCAAGCCAGAGGGTCTCGAGTGCTCAGTTCTGTAGACTTCACTGTCCCAGGCTCCCGACTCCTCCCAGCTAAAGTCCAAATGCCTCCTCAGCTCCACTCTGCCCCTGCCCTGATCTGCATCATCAACATGATAAGACAGGTCAACCAGCTGCAAAGGTAATGCTAACGGAAGCCACATCTCTGGGCATCCCTCAACCCAGGTGGGCAAATCCAGGCCCAAAGAGGATGGGAGTGATATCCAGTTGTCCAGGGTCACACAGCAAGACTCTGTCCATCAGTCTCCAGGCCCCTACCTTCTCATGATCACCTCAGCCCCCAAGATCTCTATCCTGACCCCATCTAACAATGACATTATAGTACTCAGATGAGACCAGGACAAATCTTTGTACACAATTTATCTTTTTTTTTGAGAAGGAGTTACCCAGGCTGGAGTGCAGTGGTGCCATCTAAGTTCACCGCAACCTCTGCCTCCCAGGTTCAAGGGATTCTCCTGCTTCAGCCTTCCAAGTATCTGGGATTACAGGCTTGCACCACCACATCTGGCCAATTTGTGTATTTTTAGTAGAGATGGGGTTTCTCCATGTGGGTGTGGTGGTCAGGTTGGTCTTGAACTCTCGACCCCAGGTGATCTGCCCACCTCAGCCTCCCAAAGTGCTGAGATTACAAGTGTGAGCCACCGCACCTGTAACAGTTTGTAATCCTTAACCTAACTATGGGATGAGATCTAGGATTATGCCCATCACACTGATGAGGAAACCGAGGCTCCCAGAGGAACTTGGTTCACCCAGGATCCTAAGAGATGGAGACAGGTATTCCCACCAAGGGAGCCAGGCCTACAGTCAAGACTGTCTCTACCCCATGGCTTGAGTTGAGCTGGGTTTAGAAGTGCGAGGGGCTTGCAGATGCCCGCTATCCAGTGGCTGGACCTGCAGGGCTAGGATGCAGGGTTAGGAGACAGGGACCGGGAAAGGAATCTAGGGACAGGGTGAGCCAGCCCTGAACAAGAGGAAAGTCCCAGGCCTGTGTGTGTGTGTGTGTGTGTGTGTGTGTGTGTGTGTGTACTTTTACCTTGGCGACTTTAGAGCCTGCGCAGGGCGCTTCCCTGGGAAAACCCCAGAAATCCTCCAAAACTCTGTCTTGTGGGGGCTCTCCTCATCATTCCTTCTCCCCAGGCCCCAAACATCCCAAGAGCCGCATCCCAGCCTCCAGCCCGGCGGGAAGGGGACTTCCGGTTAGAAGGGGGCGTTCTTTTGGCCCAGCCGCGTTCCCGTCGGGTCCGGTCGGAGCTGAGCTGGGGCGCAGGGCTCGCAGGAGTCAGGTCCGCCGCCCGCGCATCCTTCCTCCCGCCCCCCTCCGCTCCTCCCGCCTCTGCCTGCTCCCACTGCTCCCACTGCCCCCACAGGCGGCCCCGGCCCCTCCCCGCACGCACTGCGAGAGCGCCGACACTTGGTTGAGCGCGTAGGACAACGGGAGGGCGCTCAGCGACAGCGCCGCGGTCTTGCCCGCCAGCGGCGGGATGTCCATGGCGGCGGCGCCTGGACCCCGGCTCTGCCCCGGCGCGTCCTCCAGGGCGCTCGGCTTCCGGGCCAGGGCTGCCAGGGACCCGCCCCGCGCAAAGGTCGCCCCCCGCTGCGCCCTGGGCTGGCCTAGGTGACCGCCCTGCTTGTTCTCAGGGCACTTCCAAGTTCCCCCCCCGCCGGCCCGCCCCCCCCCCCCCCCCCCCCCCCGGCAGCTGCCTGGCCCCTTCTCCCCTCCCTATCGACACCCTCGTCGCCAGTGGCCTTCCCGCTACTCAGCCTCAGTTTCTCTGTCAAAGGCTGGGCCACACCACCTCAGGAGCTTCTGCTCTTAGACCAAGGGGTGCGCCCCGGAGGTCCTAGCGTGCTCCCTCTTCCCCGCACCCCCACAACTTCTTTCTAAGGAAATTCGTTCTCCAGGACTCTTTCTGCCCTTCTAAACCTCTGCATTCCCCAGAGTTTTCTACCCCCACCCAAATATCAAGTGGGCATTGCCTGTGTGCGCTGATGGAACAACCTCCAGCTCTTGGGCGCAAAATGCCTTTTTTATTTTTTATTTTTGAAACGGAGTCTGAGTCTCACTCTGTCACCCAGGCTGGAGTGCAGTGCCAGGATCTCGGCTCACTGCCACCTCCGCTTCCTGGGTTCAAGTTATTCTCCTGCCTCAGCCTCCTGAGTAGCTGGGATACAGGCATACACCCGGCTAATTTTTGTATTTTTTAGTAGAGAGGGCGTTTCACCGTGTCGGTCAGGCTGGTCTCTCAAATTCCTGATCTGGTGATCTACCTGCCTCAGCCTCCCACAGTGCTGGGATTACAGGTGTGAGCCACCGCACCTGGCCTAAAATGCCTTTCCGTGTACTTAGAGTTGAGTTTTCACACAGTGGCTGCAAATGAAAACACATACATTTCCAGGTAGGTGGGAAGTTTTGTTTGCTTGTTTTCATGTCATAAGTTTATTTACACACATATCTAGTATGCCACGAGTTTGAGTTTGATCCATTTTCCAGAGACTGCACCTCTTAAAATGCTCTTCATATCTGTTAAATGGATGAGCTGAAACATCCTTATTTTTTAAGCAGTTGGTGTCTTGCTATAAAAAAAGGGTGCAGCAAATCCAGATCCAAAGTACAAACAAGTAACCGCCACTTGTTTTCCACTGAAAATGGCAAATTCTTCCCAGGAGCCTCCTCATAGTGGTACCTACGGATCGCAGAGGTTGTGAACCTCCGGAGATGCTCTGGCCCAGCATAGAGCTGCTGGAAGCCCTGCAGAAGGCGCAAAGACCAAGGATGGAAGAAACAGTGGCACCTCACCAAGACTATTTGTTTTTTGAGAGGTCTCAGTTGCCCTGGCTGTAGTGTAGTAGTGGCCTGCCTTGAACTCCCAGCCTCAAGCGACCCTCCCAGCTCAGCCTCCCAAGTAGCTGGGACTACAGGTATGCACCACCACGTGCAGCTAATTCTTTTATTTTTTGTAAAGATGGGGGTCTCACTTTGTTGCCCAGGCTGGTCTCAAAACTCCTGGGCTCGAAAGATCCTCCCACCTCAGCCTCCCAGAGCTGGGATTACAGGCGTGAGCCACCTCGAGGGCTAAGTGTGAAGCTTTGATTCCGGAGCTGTTCCTTTGCGGGATAGTCCTGGGTTGAGGATTCTTCATGGTGGGGAAAGGGTAGGAGGAAGGAGTCCTAGAGGGTGGGGGCTGAAGTTAGAATATCAGGATGGAGCCAGTTTGGTCAAGAGTTTGTGAACCTTGTTCCTGGCTGGGAGGAAAATGTCTCGGAAAATGGAACCGAGCAGCAGAAAGGAGGTCGGTTTGGCTGGGGTCTGATGAGAAGCCAGGCAGCTGCAAGAGACTGTGGGAGGTTCTGAACAGCTTGGAGGGGGCTGCAGTATTGGAGGGGAGAATTAGGAGGAAGCCGTCTGTCTTTGTCATGCCCTCCAACCCTCTGGCCTCGCCCTCTGGCCCATGTGTGGATGCTGCAGACAGCAAGGTGAACTATGCCCATCTGACTCCTGCCCCACAGGAGCCCGGTCTGGGGTTGGCACAGACCCTACCCCTACCCCTGACCCCTTTTGCATGCGGGCCCTTGGCCTAATGCCAACTGGGTCACAGGTCTGTCTGAGCTGGGTCACAAGAGGGTCTTCTGGCCACAGGCCTGACTCAGCCTCCTTCCCCAAGTGCCCATGGGGTGAAGTTCAGGTTCCTCTGGACTGACTTTCCCTAACTCTAGCAGGATCAACACCCCTGAGGCTTGCTTTCTGTCTGCAAGATGAGCCTTCTTGTAAGGGGGTCCCAGCATCTCCTCCTCCAGGCAGCCCTGCCTGCCACCCCCACCCTGTCTTCTCCACGCAGGGCCAGGGTGTCTGTGACCAGCTCAGTCTAAGGGCCAGGCCTTGCCCGGTGTCCAGGACGCACCTGCACTCGCACACAGTGTTTGGAGGCCTCATACCCTGCGAGGGGGTAAAGTCCATGTCCTGAGCCTAGTGAGCCTCCAGCTAGCTGAGAACTGGGTGAGAACTCAAGAGAAGTGACTTGTACAGTTGAATGCCTGGGATTCCCCATCTCCTGAACCACTGGCTGCAAGAGCTACCCTGCTGTGCTCAGGGTCCTGGCCCACTGCCCTCTGGGCAGCCCCCATGCATGAGCACCCAGGCCAAGCCCACCAATCTTACCCCTTGCTCTGTCTCCTGCACAGAGTCAGGAGCGGAGAAAGGGTGGCATGTCACCCCAGCCTTGGCTCTGCCACTGCCTCTGGCACCTCCCTGGTGGCAGACACCAGTGAGATACTCTGCAGGCCGCCCCATCTAGGCTCCCTGGTTCCTCTTGGTAGCAGCCTCAGACTTTGTCCCCAGCAGCCTGGCTGACTGGGGCAGATCTTGTCCACCTGGTCCCCACAGTCGGCACCGTGTTTGCTGATGGCTGTGAGCATGCAGGCTGGCCCAGGAGCCTGACTCCATACTGAGCCTGTGAATAGGGAGCCCCTGGTGCCTGCAGGGGCTGGGCAGCACCCACTGGGTGTGTGTGGGCAGGTGGGAATGCAGATTCACAGGCCCCCCCCAACCTGCTGACTCAGGAGCTGCAGCTTAAGATCCCCAGGGTAACTCTGGCACAAATGTACAGCTCTGGCTCTGGGGCAGATGTGGGGATCTTGGCACTCACTATGGCCTGGGCTACCCTCCTACCTCAAAACCTCTGGCTCTTCCAGGAGCTGCCTGACTTGCTGGCATGGCACATCCATCCATGTGGCTGTCCCCTAACACCACAGGCCCCAGGGACTCATGTATCTATGACATTAGTGGGACCTGAAAGGCCATAGCCATCACATTTGGTGAGTTTGCCCTGTGCTGGGCCCTGCCAGTGCCACCTGCTGGGAGAAGAGCACACAGGTGTGCCCAGAAGCCACTTGCCTCCACAGGTCTGAAGGAAAGGTGGGGCCCTGCCTGGAGACCCCTCCCCAACTTTTCCCTTGCAGGACAGTGCTAGGCTGGGAGGTTCCCAACACTCCTTTAGCCCAGGTGTGGCCAGGTCCCCAGCTTTATTTTTTGAGATGGAGTCTCAACTGTTGCCCAGGCTAGAGTGCAGTGGCACAATCTCAGCTCAGTGCAACCTGCCTCCCAGGTTCAAGCGATTCTCCTGCCTCAGCCTCCTGAGTAGCTGGAACTACAGGTGTGCTACACCCACCTAATTTTTCTTTTTTTTTGAGACGGGGTCTTGCTTTGTTGCCCAGTCTGGAGTACAGTGACCATTCACAGGCAGGATCACACTACTGAGCAGCACAGGAGCTTTGACCTACTAAGGTTCACCCCTCCTGAGGCAACCTGGTGGTCCCCCACTCCCAGGTCACCACATTGATGCTGAACTTAGTGCAGACATCCCATCCACACAGCGCGCCACAGCCCAGGACTCCTGGACTCAAGCGATCCTCCCACCTCAACCTCCTGAGTAGCTGGGACTACAGGCACACGCCACCATGCCCAGCTAATTTTGTATTTTTAGTAGAGACGGAGTTTCACCATATTGGCTAGGCTGGTCTAGAACTCCTGACCTCAGGTGACCCACCCTTTTTGGCCTCCCAAAATGCTGGAATTACAGGTGTGAGACACTGCACCCGGCCTTCCAGCTTTATTATGCTGAGAATAGCTTTTCTCCCCTCCAGTGCAACCAAGGCCGAGCCGGGACAGAGGCTCCCCAGGCCAACAAGGAGCCCTGAGACAGCAGCATCTTGCAACCTGTGACCAGCCTGGCCCAACTGCTACACGACAGGAGGGTCTTCCTGCAACAGGACCAGGCAGCTGCGGCGGATGAGCACTGGGACTTTATTACACGGCATGGCACTCGTGACAACGGGAGGGGTGGGCAGAAATGCAGGCTGGAACATTCCACAGTCCAGGGACGGTTGGTCATTCAGAAAGTACGTTTCCAGAACACTTAGTAGTAAGGTCGTCTGGGGTTGTTCTGTGAAAGGCAAAACAGATAACAGGAGAAGGGGGTTAATGCTAGAGTCAGCATTCCTCCTGTCCGGAACCTTCTGGGGGCAGCTGAGCTCATACCCTCGAAGTGGCTGGGCAGGCTTGGGGGATGGAGGGGGTCTGAATGCAGTAGGGTGGTAGGGGGCTCACTGGTGAGCCCGGCCTGGCCGGACTGAGGAAGGAAGGGAGCCTTTGGTTCCCACCGCCACCCTCTCCTGCCGACTGAGAAAAGGCGGCCAGCTGGGGATGCGCACCAGAGGGTTAGGCCGGAAGCGGTAGGCCAGCATCATCCTCTTGCGGAAGGCCTCATACTCATCATCCTCCTTGGAGAGCTCGGCCGGCCGGTCAATGCCGAAGCCGGCACCGTCCACTGTGGTGGTACCCCTACAGAGAGGAGATGAGGCGATGTGAGCGGGGAGGGGGCCGGGTCAGTGCCAGTGGGAAGGGGTCTGGGGCTGGAACTCCAGGCAGAGGGACTGAGCATAGCTGGGCTCTCGGCAGCACCTTCCAAGGGCTGGGCTGGGCCATATCTGCGCAGAGAAGCCTGAACCCGAATGGTGAAGGAGGGGAGAGCCTGGGGGCTCCCAGGCTCCAGGGACTCACAACAGGGAGGAGGAGCCCACAGTGCA